CTTCTTGATGGAGAAGCTGTTGCTCAAGTCTTAGGGAGAGGAAGAACAAAATACAAAGGTGGCTCTGTCTCAAAATGGCGCAAACCCAACCAATGAGTAGTGATCTGCACTTCCCTCGAGTATTTTTTTGGTGGGGTCTGTTGTCTTTGGACCGCCAATCAAACCTGCAGACACACCTCATGGTCATGGGAGCCACATTCGAAGCAGCGGCTATTGGCAGCGGGGTCCTGGCCATGCTTGAAGCACTGATGTAGCTTCCTTGCTGTGTCTCGCAAAACCTATGAGGCCTCAGCGTACACCGTCCAAAAGCTTGCCACAAGTAGGCGAAAGTGGCACGTGGAGTACAGAAACGCCAGCAGCAGCAGCAGCAACAGCAGGAGCTGCATCCCTTTATGCTGCCCATGTGAGTCCTATTGTTGCAAGTCGTTGTGGCCTGACCATTCCTTCTTGCCACCCTTAAAATCAGCATCGTGGTCGCACAAGCAGCTGCTCCCCGAACAGTCCCTTGCCAGATAAGCTCCGCCAAAAGCATTTGTTGCAGAGTAAGACTCCTCACTGTGGACACTTCTTCAAACTGAACCTTTTGGCCCTCACGAGGGGGCCGATCGCCTCGCAATGCGCTCGGTCCTTGGCCACAATCGCCTCGAAGCGAGGCTTCAGAGTCTCTGTGGGGATGGTGGGTTCCTTCCCCTGCGCGTGGCGATGACAAGCATCTCGCAGGATGGAGAGCACGCTTCGGCCATTGTTATGAGTCAGGATTCTGATCCCTTTAAATGGTCCCAAGCAAATAGAAAATGATGCGCTATAATCACCTATTTCAAGAGGATCCGCCTTTATTGTAATCCTTAGCCTACTGCAACTCACAGCTGGGTGTGTAATTCACACCCGAGATACGCACATGTTTTCTCCCTTCCGAGCACCATCGCCGCTCTACCGCCATGCTGGTGGAAAGACTTCACTCACTCGTCCCTGCGGAGGCAGTCAGGCTCATGGATTCGAACGAATAAAATGCACTAATATTTATACTATACAACCTTATACAGCAGATAGTTTGCGGATGTTTGCGGTATAAAGGCAAGTGACACTAGTTGATACTCGTCGCTTACACCACAGCAGTTGAATCATGTCGCCCATGGCGTGTGGGCTGTACTGTAATCTCTCGTCCAAACGCACCTCACAGAAACAGCGATGAAACCCATTCGTTGGGGGATAGTAAATGGCAATGACTTCAACAACTGTGTGTGTGTGTCACCTCCCATCCCCAGGGATGCTACCACTATGAACCTTACCTCTTTCTGTACAGAAGCAGGGGGGCAATGAACACTTTGGAGGGCATTACCCAACGAAGACCTTTCCATTGTGTTATGATATGACTTTGGGACGCCAAAGTCACATACCTGCAACAACTTTTAATCCCATATCGATGAGTTCAACAATACTGTTCAGCGGACTCTCTCGTCTTGCCGTTGCTCACAGGGCCGTTTTGAAGGTTTAGGTTTCGAGCGCTCTAGTCGGGTATTGCAGTAACTATATAATCCTAAAGTGCTAATGCATCACCGCGAAACGCTGAGCTTCTGCTCGTCCGAGCTCTTTTCTGAAGTGTGTGTGTGTGTCCCCTCTGGAGTCATACGGTCATGAGGTTCCTTTTGGATTGTTTTGCTTCATGATGTTCTTTTAGCAGGGGGGCGACGGAGTCACTGCATGGCTGTCGCCAACGAAGCTCCATGCAGTTGACTAGGACATCACGGCTGATCACCGTGACGTACCTGCTTTGGTGTGATATGTTTCCAAGCTGTTACTCCAATCTTCCGGTACAGTGCTAGTGAGTTCTGCAGATGTGCACGAACGCCGTCATCTTGTCGATCCGAACTCGTCAATTCGAAGACCCCCCAGCCTCCGTTGGGTTTTTACCTGCACTCTTAGGAAATGGTTACCTAGGCCGGCGTGCGGCAACTGCTTTCAAATCAGTACCCGTCGAACGGGGGTTTGTCGAACCTATCCCATGCCCGGATACAAAGCAGCTCGCAGCGAGCGTAGGTGGCCTAGGCCAAAGTCATTTGCCAAGATTTGATGGATTTTTGAGTACAAGTAGGCAGCCTTCGGGCACGCCGCAACGTGGTCGCAGCGACCAAAGCTTGTTCAAGGTTCATGGAACCTGTCGCCACCTCAGGTGCACACACAGCACGCACATTTTCAACGAGGTTTGCATAGGTGTTCTAATGGGGTTTGGGTTCATTGGTTTTTGTCCCCTCCATTTGGCTTCCCTTTTCATCTTTTCCCCTTCACATACTTTTGCTTTCCTCTTTTTTTTCATGTCCTCCTGTCCTCATGTTTTGTCATCTCATCCTTTCTTTCGTTTGCGCACACATCGGTCTTGGCTTTAGTGTGCGCACGCACATCTACCTACACTTTAAACACAGGTTTCAGGTCGCCCGGGGGGGCGTGTGTGTGTGTGTCCCCTCTGGAGTCACGAGGTTCCTTTTGGATTGTTTTGCTTCATGGTGTTCTTTTAGCAGGAGGCGACAGCGTCACTGCATGGCTGTCGCCAACGAAGCCCCATGCAGTTGACTAGGATATCACGGCTGATCACCGTGACGTACCTGCTTTGGTGTGATATGTTTCCAAGCTGTTACTCCAATCTTCCGGTACAGTGCTAGTGAGTTCTGCAGATGTGCACGAACGCCGTCATCTTGTCGATCCGAACTCGTCAATTCGAAGACCCCCCAGCCTCCGTTGGGTACTCTTAGGAAATGGTTACCTAGGCCGGCGTGCGGCAACTGCTTTCAAATCAGTACGCATTTCTACAAGTGTGTGTGTGTGTCCACCCCTGGACAAAGGGTTTCGTCCGACTAATCCACT